TACTCCGCCCCTAAAGAAAATTTAGCTCCACCCCAAAGTTCCTTATTCAGAAAATTTCCGTTTTATACTCCGCCTATAAAGGCGGAACTCTTGACAAATGGCGGAGCTTTTTCAAATCTAAAGAAAGAAGGCGTTGCTTATTTTTCATAAAGGGGTGGGGCGTCGATTTACCTGGAAAAAAGGCGTTACTTATTTTGTGACCGCCCACCAGGGGCGGAACAAATACAAAGGTTCCTAACAACAAGAAAACCACGAAAAAGGCGGGGCTTTTTTTAGATAAAAAAAAGAAGACGTGATTTATTTCTTCTTAAAGATGCGAGGCGTCAATTCATTTGGAAAAGAAGGCGTTACTTATTTTGTGACCGCCCACAAAGGGCGGAGCATTTTAAATTGTGAAGATTATCCTATTAGCAAGTAGAGGGAGGGTAAAAATTGGTCAAAAATAGTGAATAAACAATAGAATGCCCTCCGAAGGGCGTGGTTTATAAAAATAAAAAAAATCCCTAAGCTAGGAAAGTAGGAGTAACCTAATGAGGGGTGGAGTTTCAATAAAGATTTATTGTGCCCGCATGAAATTGAAAAATAGAAAAAAGGACCAAACATCGTGAAAAGAGAAATAAAAATATTTTTTTCTAAATGCAAAAGCTAAAATCCGTTTTCGAATTTCATTGATCAACTCGTAGACGAATTTCCTTGAACTCTCAAGAGGAATGCATTGCCTCGATGTGCGAAAATCATGAATGCTTCCTCCTCCTCCTCCTCTTCTTGCTCACTCTGTCGACCCTCACCTTCATTCTGTTGCCGACTTCCGCAATCCTCATGGGAAACTACCATCGCGAAATATATAACCTCCATTGGGACGTGGAATTTCTATAGGGTGGAAAAAGAGAAGGAAAAGAAGAGAGAGAGAGAGAGAGCATGCGATATGGTACGTCAGGTGTCGTGACTCACAGCTTTTCTTACCGTAATTTTCTCACTCTTTTTTTCGCTTTGCATTTTAAAAATTTATTTCTGCTTTTAACGATTACCATACATGCATATACCTGGTAAATAAGGTTATGTAAAATATTTTTTTCTCGTTTTTAAATTAGAAAAATTGAGAAGAAAAAAATTTTCTTTTATGATAAGAATTTTTTAAGAATGATGTACGGTACATTAGGTTAGGAGCGGTGGTTTTAGGCGAGCTATGTAGTATAACTGTATGTTATCTATTTTCTCGTTTGTACGTTCTGCCCTCTCGTGCGAAACTTTGAAATCACTCGAGCGTCTCGATTACGCTCAAGCGAGGAAATTTGATTTATTGTGTCTCGCGCCGTTAAATGGAAAAAAGATGATGCGCTCCATCTTGTAACCGGTGATACAAAACGGTTCCTCTTTTGTCTTTGATCTGCTTCTTGAAATAAAGAAAAAGAACCAAAAAAATGAGTAAAAACAAATGTGGGAATCCCCGATAGAACAAATTAACAAAGAATAATAATATCTTTTCTTGAACTACCCAACTCTGGCAAAACGAAAAAAAAAACGAAAACTGTAATGTGGGAATTCCCCGTTTTAACAAATTAACTGAAAATAATATATTACCTTTTCTTCAATTATCCAACTCTGGTAAAACTTTAAGGATTTCCACTTTTTAGCAAAATAAATAACAATATTGTTTTCTTCGACTACCCAACCCTGGCAACATTAAAGTACTCTGAAATGGCGCAAATAAAAGAAAAAAAGTGAAAATAAATGTGAGAATCCCCGATAGAACAAATTAACAAAGAATAATAATATCTTTTCTTGAACTACCCAACCCTGGCAAAACTAAAAAGGAGAAATCGATAGAGAAAAAAATTTGGAAATTCCTGTTTTAACAAATTAACGAAGAATAATATTTTACTCTTTAATTATTTATTCAACTGTGAGAAAATTAAAGAATTCTTAAAAGGCGAATAGATAAAGAAAAAAATGTGGGAATCCCTGTTTTAATAAATTAATTAAAAATTATATTATCCTGACTTCAACTACCCAACCCTGGTAAAATGAAAAAATTCGTAAATATAAAGAAAAAAAATGTGGGAATTCCCTTTTTATCAAATTAATTAAAAATTACATAAATACTTAGCTAACTACCCAACCCTGTTAAAACTATAAAGTATAAATTTGTAATGAAAAAATTTGGTAATTCCTGTTTTAAAAAATTAATTAACAATAACATTTTTTCTTCAACTACTTAACCCTGGCAACATTAAAGAACTCTAAAATGGCACAAATATAAAGACAAAATGAGGGAATTCCCTTTTTCAGATTAATTAAAAATTATTGAATCATATCTCAAACTACCCAACCCTGGCAAATCTAAAAATTACAAATCTATGAAGAAAAACATTAGGGGATTCATGTCTTAACAATTTAATTAAAAATTATATTGTCATTTCTTCAACAACCCAACTCTGGTAAAACTAAGAAAGCGAAAACTACAAAGAAAGAATGTGTGAATTCCCGTTTTAGTAAATTGAACAATAGTAACATTTTTTTCTCTAGCTACCCAACTCTGGCAAAATGAAATAATTCGAAAAAGACGCAAATATAAAGAAAAAAAATGTGGGAATCATCGTTTTAACAAATTAATTAAAAATTACATCTTTTCTTTAACTACCCAACCCTGGTAACATTAAAGAAATCTAAAATGGTTCAAATAAAAAGAAAAAATATGTGAATCCCCGTTTTAAGAAATTGAATATCAATATTTTCCTTTTTCCTAGCGGTTCACAACTTTTTTTAATTAATTCAATAATTGAAATTAATAATAAATTAAAAAATAATAAATAAAATAACTAGTATTAAAATAAATATTATTAATAAATAGAAAAATGTTCTTAAATTATCTCGCTTCATATTTTACGATTGCTTTTATTTACTGATTGTTTTTTTTTATACTTCGTGGTGGACAATTACTTGCATATTTTATGTATGGTAGTTCTTTGTCAACTTGGATATTACTGTCCCTCATACTAGAACCCTTCACCGCACTTTACCAACCCATACAATATAACGAAAGTACCTACAGCAATGTGGAGAATCAATATTTTAGCGACAATATTCCGAACTATGGTGGTCATCGATCGCATCACGTAAAAGCATCGAAAACCATAAAAATAATTCTCCGAAAAAAAATTCCTATAAATAAAAAATGAAAATTATTAAAAAAAAAAAAATTAACAATATTAAAATACTTTTTAAAAAAATTTCAATTCACGATAAATTCCCCTCAATCCTTAATTTTTATACAGAAATAACAATTATTTAAAATATCAAGAAAGAAAAATTATAAACAAAAAAAAATTGGAGCAAGTGATAAAAAATTAAAAATAAATATCACACAATTTTCAGGAAAGGATATAAAATTGTCAAAGCAATTTGCGCGATTATATAAATTAAAGAAGAAGGAAAGAGAAAGAAAAAAATGTAATTTATTGACAAGAAAAAATTATTTATGAGAAGGCAAAAAAAAAAAATTATGCTAAAAGCAGTCATTAAAAATTGCGAGAATATTAAATGCACTTTTAATTCGAGTTTCAATCATTTAAAAAACGATTTCAATTAGAAGCGGTCAAAACCTTGAAAGCGCAATTAAGAGCAAATTTACGAGAGGCTTTTAACCGTCGGCGGATTAATTAAAAAATCATCATCCAAAATGAAAAAAAAAGATATTTTTTTTCTATATTAAAACTTTTATGAAAAATTTAAAAATCGTCTTCATAAACTTTAAATACATTTGATGTGATATTAAAGTACAAGCTGAGAATTCATATATTCTAGAAGTAAAAGACTTTTGGTACTTAAGAATATAAATATATGGTGTTTGATCTTTATTTTTGATGGAAACGAAAATTTTTTCGAATATTAATTTAATTGAAAAAGAACATTCAAGTAATTTTAGAAACGAGAAGTAATTTTTATAACCAGTAGAATTTTGCAAAATTCCTAATATTTTCAAAATATTTTGTTCAGACTTGTGTCTCGGATTGACTTTTTTTACTAAAGTCTAAAAGTAAAAAAAGTTGTTTTAGTCGATCAAAATTCAAAAATTACTAAATCTAAATATAATTTTCTTAAAATTAAATTATTTTCTAGAATTTTTAACAAAAATTTTTCCCTCAATTATTTTTTTTATAATAATATTAATAATAATATTAATAATAATAATAATAATAATAATAATAATAATAATAATAATAATAATAATAATAATAATAATAATAATAATAATAATAATAATAATAATAATATTATTATTATTATTAGGTATTATTAATACTATTATTTTTAATATTATTAATAATAATGTTACTTTATAACATAGAAATTTTTAAATCTACTGCAATTTAACGTTCATAAAAGGATCAATTTGGCGCCAATAGAATATTTGAGGACGCCATCGACAGATGGCGTTGTAAAAGCCCAAATCATAACGATATTTCAAAAAACTGATTTTCAAAGAAGGTAAATTTTAATTTTTTTTTGTAGCAAATTACCAACAAAAAAAGTAGAGTAGAAAAAAAAATTGTACACGCTATATAATAGAGACTTTGAAATTGAACTTCCGACCCTTTTTTGAATAACTATCAAAAAGAGAGGTCAGGAATGTAATGCACAGTAGACACACATACACATAGCGAGAGAGAGAGAGAGAAATCGATCCTCACTGTGATGCACTGTGATGCACTGGAACCACTTATAATTCTGTGGAGCATTCGCGCACGTGGCAAAACTGCCACGACTGCACCCTGTCAGAAATGTAGCGCTCAGAGAGAAGGGATGATAAGGGAATGAAAAAAGTGGAATGAGAATAGAATGGTGTGAGATGGTCCACATTTCAAAACTAGATATATAGAGGAAAGGAACGTGAAACGAGCGTTTGAAATTGAGATGATTCTGTAAAAGTGAAGGAAAAAGCAACGCTTTGCGCTTTAAGCGACGCCAGTTGACAAGCGACGATTATTTTTGACACTCACCGAGTTAATGGCTGTCATGCTGTTCACTCGACTTGGATCCGCGACCACTAGCCCGCTGTCGCTCTGTAACAATCAAAAAAATTTTATGATCCACTTGTAATTAGAAAAGAATTTCTATTTTCTACTTGTAATTACAAAAAAATTTATATTTCCTCCTTATAATTACGCAAAAAAATTATATTTGCTACTTATAATTAAAAAAATAATAGTTTTCAATTATTATCCAACATCAAGTTACATTTTCCCTTAGGAAAAAAGTGTTTTTTCGAAAAAAAAATAATTAGACTTTTAAATTTTCGCGCCATGAAGATAGTTGATGACGCCATCGACAGACGGCGCATTGCGAACGTTCGAAAACATCCATCTATCGAATATAAAACACTCACTGAATTGAATTTGGTATTTTTCACCCAAAACACTTGTTTATTTAAATTGAAATGTAAAATTTTGTCTCCTTCTTCATTCTTTTTTGCTTCTTCCGAAGAAGAGGATTTGTTACCGAGATGAACGAATTTTAGCATTACATGAGAAATACTATTTTTCCACTGGGATTTTCTGCTCCTTTAAATTCAGCATTTCTCTCCGCGTTTGGCCAAGAAGACTTGGAGAGGTAGAAATTCAATTCTCGTAAGTAAATCCATTGCAATGGCGCGGGAAATCCGCTTCGAGCATTTTGTCCACCGACTGCTTTTCGATTCTATGTGTATGTGAAAGCAAGTCGAACAGTCCGTGGAGGAGAAACTGTATGTTGACGTAAGACTTTGGCACTTTGGTCGTTTCCCGCAATGCCAATGGGAGGGGAGAGAGGTAGAAAAATAATATAGAAAAAGAAAATCTCTCTGGCAACATTGCAATGTAACGCAAATACTGTCATTTCACCATTCTTGTGAATGGTGAGAGATGTTATGAGATTTCTGTTCAATTCGATAAATGTAGTTTTCAAAATGTATTCACATTATACTTTTTTCGTATTTGAATTATTTTAAAAAATAGAAATTTGGAATTATTATTTTCCTTTGGGGAAAAACGGGGTTTGTAAAAATAGTTGAGGACGCTCTCAATAGGCGGCGCTGTTAAAGTAAAAAAATCTCATTAGTTGAAAAAGTTTTTAAACTATTTCAAAAGAAGAAAGTCGTTTTAAAGGATATAAAGATAGTTGCGAACGCTTTCGATAGACAGCGCTGATAAAAGTAAAAAAACAAAAAAAAGAGTGAAAACAAATGTGGGAATCCCCGATAGAACAAATTAGCTAACAATAATAATAATATCGTTTCTTCAACTATCCAACTCTGGCAAAAATAAAAAAACGAAAACTGCAAAAAAATAATGTGGGAATTCCCGTTTTATCAAATTAATTAAAAATTATTAAATCATTTCTTTAACTACCCAACCCTGGCAAAACTAAAAAGGAAAAATCTATAAAGAAAAAAATTTGTGAATCCCTGTTTTATCAAAATTAAACAACAGAAATATTTTTTCTTTAACTACCCAACCCTGATAAAATTAAACAATTCCAAAATCACGCAAATATAAAGAAAAAAATCTGGGAATTCCCTTTTTATCAAATTAAGTAGAAATTACATAAATATTTAGCTAACTACCCAACCCTGGAAAAATTAAAAATTCGAAAACTGCAAAGAAAAAATGTACAAATTCCTTTTTTATCAAATTAAATAGAAATTACAGAAATATTTAGCTAATTACCCAACTCTAGAAAAATTAAAAATGTGAAAACTGCAAAAAATGTGGGAATTCCCGTTTTACCAAAATTAAACAACAGAAACATTTTTTTCTTTAACTCCCCAACCCTGGAAAAACTAAATAAAAAATTTGTGAATCCCTGTTTTAACAAATTAACTTACAAATATACTTTATTCAACTATCCAACTCTGGCAGAATTAAAGAACTCTAAAAAGGTTATATAAAGAAAAAAATGTGGGAATTCCCTTTTCTCAAATAAATTAAAAATTATTAAATCATATCTCTAACTACCCAACCCTGTCAGAACTAAAAATTAGTAATATATAAAGAAAAAAATATGGGATTTCCTGTCTTAACAATTTAATTAAAAATTATTTTGTCATTTCTCCGACTACCCAACTCTGGTAAAACTAAGAAAGCGAAAACTACAAAGAAAAAATTGGTGAATTCCCGTTTTAGTGAATTGAACAACAGTAATATTTTTTTTCAACTACTTAACTCTGGCAAAATTGAACAATTCTAAAATGGCGCAAATGTAAAGAAAAAAAATGTGAGAATCGCCGTTTTAACAAATTAATTAAAAACTACATATTTCTCCAACTACTCAACTCTGGAGAAACTAAAATGGTGAAAACTAAAAAGAAAGAAATATGAAAATCCCCTTTTTAAGAAATTCAATAACATTATTTTCTTTTTTAATAGCGGTTCACAACTTTCTTTAATTAATTGAATAATTTAAATTAATAACAAATGAATAATAAAAATAATTAAAATAACTAATATTAAAATGAATAATAATAATAAGTAGAAAAAAGTTCTTAAATTATTCCGCTTCATATTTTACGACTGTTGAAAATGTTTTTAAACTATTTCAAAGGAAATAAAGTCGTTATAAAGGATAAAAGATAGTTGAGGACGCTTTCGATAGGCGGTGCTGTTAAAAGTAAAAAATCTTATAATTATTTGTGTAAAACGTTTTTAAATTATTTCAAGGGATAAGAATACAGATTAAAAAGTAAAATCTTCATAAAGTTTATAAAGATAGTTAAGGACGCTTTCGACAGATGGCGCTAGAAGCTTCTAAAATTAAAAGAAATAATGTCATTATATTTTTGAGAATTCTGAAGTAATTAATACCACACGTTAATTAAGTTTTGTTAATGGTTTGTTATTGTTATGTTTTTATTATAGTTAAAGGCGATTTCGATAGATGGCGCTAGAAACTTAGAAAATAAGACGAAAAATTTAATTATATTTTCGAAAATTGTTAAGAAGTTAATAACAAAAATTAATTTTAAGTATTTTTATGGTATTATATTATTATGTTTTTATTATAGTTGAGGACGCTTTCGACAGATGGCGCTAGAATCTTTGAAAATAACAAGAAAAAATATAATTATATATTTTTTTTAATTATCAACAATTTAAAACTATAAATTAATTAAGTTTATTAATGCTTTTCTATTGACAGTTATTGTTTGGAATTTTTTTTCCCCTTTTTATTTCGAAAAAGATGTGAAATTAATAAAGATTTATCACAAAAATATAAATGAATGTGTATGTATATGTGAGTGTGTGTAAAAATTGTCTGCTGATTCATCGCTGAAAATCCAACAAATGCCACTGCATTTGAAAATACACGCTCGTCATTCATTACCACACGGTGAACAACATTCAGTGTTCATCGCGACTAAATTTGTTTGCGTAAAAATAGCCCTGTAAATTACGGCCTTTGCCGATTCAATTTTTATTGCACATTGCCAGCGTCACGGGACCAAATGAGATTTCAAGTACCTTTTGGAAATGTCCAACAATTACGCGTTTCACTCTCAAAATGTATATTCGAAATGCTGTGTGAGAACAATTTTGTTGATTGCTTGAAAATTTGAAAATCTCGTAATTCCAATTTGTACAACTCAATACATATACATTGGAATATAGTTATATATATATTGTATAATATAAAGAATCGTATGATTTAAAAAAAAAAATTTTTTTTTTAATTAAGAGACGCTATCGCCAGGTGGCGCCAAGTTTAATTAAATTTAAAAGCGAACGATCTTTCTGCGAAAGATAAAATAGAGACTTTCTAAGAAAATGTCTCGCCAAAAATGTGAGGAATGACGGAAGGTGCCAGATTCACGGTTAGATTCATTTTGGTCCTCTTCACGTTAAACGCAGCGAGAGAATCGCAAAATGACACATACCATCGTCCTTTCAACGCGGAAATGGCCGGAAGTCGTAAAGCAAGAAATTAACAGTGCGATTCAAAATTAAAGACTAAAAAGAAAAGGTATTTAGTTTCTATAGAAAAAAAATTCCATTTGCAAAACCTAATGGTTTTGAACAAAAAATTCTACATTTTCATCTCCATCTATCGACGGCGTCATGTAACTAAAATTCAGCGCGTAATTTAAAAGTCTCCAAATGAAAATTTATTACCACTAATTAAAAATGGATAAATATAAATAATTTTTTATTAACAAACTTCAAAAAAATGAAAAAAAAACAAGAAACGAGAAGAAAATGTGACTACAAATTTAAAAAAATATGGCTCATCAAAAACCAAGTCATAAACGAAGTGCTCCCATAATTTTTGAGTGGAAAACAAATTGATATTCAAGGAAAAGATATAAATTTTAAAGAAGGAAGATTGACGATGAGATTTTGTAAAGATAGAGCACTCGATTTAGTAGAAATTAGAACTCTCAACCCATTTCCGTGGCAGGTAACCTTGCATGTAGGCGGTCCCTTGGTCCGTTCGTTTCGTGTTTGACACGAAAATTTATTCGTGCATAACTGATTTGGCATACGTTCAAAATGTCTCCCTTTCTTCATTTTCACAACTCTTCTTCGTCAACTGTATATATTTTCACGCGTAGTATAATCATTTTATAATCAAAAGAATGTGTTTTCTTTTTGGGAGAAATAAAAAAAGTGCCATTGAACCTTCTTCTCTTAATGAGAAAAAATAACGAAGACCAATATAAATATTCATATTTAAAAATTTTTAATTTTCAATTTTACTAGATATTGCTATTTAAATTACTATTTGCTATTTATTCGTCACTATTTAATCTAATTACTTATAAATAATTATTAATTCTTTGTAATTTTGTTTATATTTTATTTTATACTATTCAAATATATTAATAAACGAAAATTTTATTTTGAATTTCGCGCCTGAATTGATTATAGTCAATGACGCCATCGCTAGGCGGCGCAAATACTTCCTTCTCGTTATTTATTAACTCTGTTTACTTACGAATTATCTATTTATTATTCCCAATATAGTTCAATAACATTAAAATTATTATAAATGTGCAATTTGTTTATAACTATTAAAATATATTAATATTTAA